TCATTGTTGTTTGGCGGGTCCGGGCTGGGGATTCGAACCCGCCACCTTAGGTGTACGTGGCTGGCGCCCCAGCCGGTTGAGCTATAGGCGCCGAGCCCAGGCTGGGAGTTTTAACATACTGATGGCATTTGATGAGCTTACTAAGGAGTAGATAGAGTAGGGGTAGAGAAGGACAGCCCCATATCCTGGCGTGCCCTTTTTAAAATTTATTTCATTTTTTTGAGACAAAGTCTCACTTTGTTGCCCCCGTACAGAGCCATGGCATCATAGCTCACAGCAAACTCAGATGTTTAGGCTCAAGTGATTCTCTTGCCTCAGCCTCCTGAACAGCTGGGACTACAGGTGCCCGCCACAACACTGGCACTTTTTAGAAACGGGGGTCTCATTCTCTAGCTGGTCCCGAACTCCTGAGCTTAGGCAATCACTTGCCTTGGCCTCCCAGAGTGCTAGGATTAGAGGCGTGAGCCACTGCGCCTGGCCAAGGGGCACTCTATTATTAATTTGGAGAAAAGAAGCTAGCAAAAGAGTCTGAAGAGGACCAATCAGTAAGGAGACGCACAAGCTAATGGGAGCCAAAGGAAGAAAGGATACTAAGGAGGGAGAGTGCTTATTCTGTAAATAGTTCCCATAGGCAAGCAAGATTAAGAATCAACCACAGGGGCGGTGTCTGTGGCTCAAAGGAGTAGGGCACTGGCACCATATGCTGGACGTAGCGGGTTCAAACCCCACCCCGGCCAAAAACTGCCAAAAAAATAGAATCAACCACAGGAATCACAATGTGAGGGACATCTGTAACTTTGACAAAAGCAGTCTGGTGGTGCGGCAGCAGTGCAAAAGCCTGAGGTGAAGGTTCAAGGAAGAATGGAGAGAGACTGCAGACGGTGAGTGTAGATAACCCTTTTTGGATTTTGTCAGAAAAATGACAGAAATGAAATGGACCTATATTTGCATGGAAATGAAGTCTAGAGAGGGTTGGTTTGTGTTGTTTTCCTTCTTAAGATGGGAAAAAGGAGAATGTTGATATTCTGAATATAAGGACCAAGTAGGCAGGTAGATACTGATAAGGCAGCAGAGAGAGGGAAGAGTGGGTGGAATGACAGTCTCAAGAGGCAAAAGGGGGCTCGGCGCCTATAGCTTAACCGGCTAAGGCGCCAGCCACGTACACCTAAGGTTGCCGGTTCGAATCCCCAGCCTGGATCCGCCAAACAACAATGATGGCTGCAACCAAAAAATAGCCGGGCGTTGTGGCGGGCGCCTGTGGTCCCAGCTACTTGGGAGGTGGAGGCAGGAGACTCGCTTGAGCCCAGGAGTTGGAGGTTGCTGTGAGCTGTAATGCCACAGCACTCTACCCAGGGGGACAGCTTGAGGCTCTGTCTCCAAAAAAAAAAAAACAAAGAGGCAAAAGGGAACGGGGTCCAGTGTGCAACTGGAGGGGGCAGCTTTGGAGCACCTTACCTCCAACACCCATTTCAGCAAGTCCTTCAGAGCTTTTTGGCGGGCTTCTCCTTGCCAGCGGGTGGCAAGGAACCCCTCCATGTGGAGTTCTTGGTAGATAACAACCTCTGGGCTTGGGCCTATGAAGAGAAGAACAGATTAGGGTGATAGGGTCTACGTAGGTGGCCACAGTGGAAACACAAGCAGTACAGGTGACTGCCACTGTTCTCCTGTTGCTTCCCTTCTGTGTCTGTCACTGCTTGCTGGTCCATGGGACTAATCCACAGGCACCGTGGGGAAGGCAGAATAACACGCTGAAGATGTGAAGCGGTAACTGTGTTACCCTATGTGCCAAGATGGACTTTGCAAATATTAAGAACCTTGTGATGGGGAGATTATTCTGTATCATAATGATAGACCCAACATAACTGCAAGAGTCCTTGTGAGGGAAAGAAGGACACAGGAAGGTTAGAAAAGAAGGTTAGAGTTAAGAAAAAAATATGCGGATGGGCAGTGTTTGGGCTTGTAATTCCAGCTACTTCTGAGGCTAAGGAGAGAGGACTGCTTTTTTCAAGACAGAGTCTCACTTTGTCAGCCTTGGTAGAGTACCTTGGCATTGTAGCTCACAGCAACCTCAAACTCCTGGGCTAAATTGATTGTCTTGCCTCAGCCTCCCAAGTAGTTTGTGTCTGCCACAATGCCCGGCTATTTTTAGAGATGAGGTCTCGCTCTGGCTCAGGCTAGTCTTGAACCTGTGAGCTCAGGCAATCTATCCATTTTGGCTTCCCAAGTGTTGGGAGTACAGGTGTGAGCTATCACGCCCGGCGAGCAGACTACTTGAGCCCAAAAGTTTGAGGCTAGCTTGGGTAACACAGAAAAACCCTATTTCTTTTCTTTTTTTTTTTTTTAAGACAGAGCCTCAAGCTATCCTCCTGGGTAGAGTGCCGTAGCATCATAGCTCACAGCAACCTCCAGCTCCTGGGCTCAAGCGAGTCTCCTGCCTCCGCCTCCCAAGTAGCTGGGACCACAGGCACCCGCCACAACGCCTGGCTATTTTTTGGTTGCAGCCGTCATTGTTGTTTGGCAGGGCGGGCTGGATTTAAACCTGCCACTTTAGGTGTATGTGGCTGGCGCCGAGCCATGCTGCTGGCTTTGAAGATAGAGGGATAGAGGAAGGGCCACATGCCAAGGATTCCAGGAAGCTTGGGTGAAGCTGGAAAAGGCAAAGACACAGGTTCTCTCCTAGAGCCTCCAGAAGGAATGTGGCACTGCCAGCCCATTTTAATTTTGACATTTAGAACTGTAAGAATAAATTTGTTGGGGCAGGCACATTGGCTTACACCTATAGTCATAGCACTCTAGGAGGTCAAGGTGGGAGAATTGCTTGAGGCCAAGAGTTCAAGACCAGCCTGGCAATAGCTAAGACCCTGTCTGTACAAAAAATAAAAATAAAACCATTAGTCGGGTATGATAGTCCATGTCTATAGCCCCAGCTACTTAGGAGGCTGAGGCCAAAGGATCCTTGAGCCCAGGAGTTGGAGGGTGCAGTGAGCCAATGATGATGCCACTGCACTCTAGCCCAGGCAGCAAAATAAGACTTTGTCACAAAAAACCAAAGAGAATAAATATGTGTTGTTTAAGCCACTAATTTTGTGGTAATTTGTTATGGTGGCAATAGGAAACTGATATACACTTGAATCCTTGCACAGCCCAGGCAGGCCCAGAGCGTTCATCCCTTATGTGCCAGAACCAAGGCCTACTGAAAACTTCCCAAACAGTTCTATGGAACTGAAATAATGTACGAAAATTTTCTGCACTTCTCAAGAATGAATATCCTGTACTCTGGGAAACCAAGGCTGGGCAGATCACCTAAGCCCACAGGTTCGAGACCAGCCTGAGCAAGAGCAAGACCCCATCTCTAAAAATAGCTGGGCGTTGTGGGGGGCGCCTGTAGTCTCAGCTACTTGGGAGGCTGAGGCAAGAGAATTGCTTGAGCCCCTTCGTTCTGTTCTCAGAGGAGTTGCAGAAAAACTAGTGTGCACCCCAGGCCAAAAGCCAGTGAGAGAGAGCAGATCAGGAGACGGGCAGGTCCCACACCTGCTCCTGCCCTGTAATTTCAGGATGCCAAGAGTCAGCCGGAACAGCAGATGTCAGGCTTTAGTCTGTATCAGAATCAAATGGAGGGCTTCTGAAAAGAGATTGGTCAGACCTTCCCTCATTTCTCACTGTGGATCTGGGTCAGGCTCTAAGTAAGAATTTGCCTGCCTTCCTTCCCTCCTTCCTTCCTTCCTTCCTTAGAATGGACCCAAAAGAAACTGATGCTAACACAAGTGAGACATCTAAATGCTAGTTTTATCTTGCAGAAAGAGTGCTCCATCAAGTCCCACATAACCATATATATATATATATATTTTTTTTTTTTTAAGGATTAGAACCTTCATTTCCTTATCTTTAAAGAAGGTGAAATGCTATTCTGGGGCTTCTCCATCTTGGTGGGAATGTTGATTTCTTTATGGAGAGCAAAAAACCAATCATGGCATTAAAGCTGGTGGAAGTTTTAAGACAAAAAAAAAAAGCTGGTGGAAGTAATTACTTGCCTCTGAACTAAATGATGTTAGAATTTCTGGGGATCTGCATCAGAGCAGAATCCCATCTAATTAAAATGTAATGGACAAGTGTAGCTGACATCTCAAAGACCTATCAGAGCAGACGAACTTCTAAAGAATTGCTAATTGCTAAAAAGACTAGATCAAGTTACAGTATCCAAAATACTTAGCTATGCCTAATTGGACTATGGTTAAGAAAGTGCATTCTGGCTTGGTGCCTGTGGCTCAAGTGGCTAAGGCACCAGCCACATACACCTGACATGGCAGATTCGAATCCAGCCCGGGCCCGCCAAACAACAATGATAGCTGCAACCAAAAAATAGCTGGGTGTTGTGGGGGGCACCTGTAGTCCCAGCTACTTGGGAGGCGGAGGCAGGAGAAGCACTTGAGCCCAGGAGGTTGCTGCGAGCAGTGATGCCACATCACTCTACCCAGGGCGACAGCTTGTGGCTCTGTCTCAAAAAAAAAAAAAAAAAAGTGCATCCTGGAGCTTTGCTGAATTGGCAGGCAGATGATTTGCATTGATTAGAAAAATATGGGAAGAAAAAGGCCTTTACAATAAGATTGCCAAGAAATCTGGAGTTTCCTTTTTGGTGAAGAGAAGAGTTATTTGATTTTTCACAGCCCAAGAGGGAACCAACAAGTAGTTCCTCCTCAGTCCTTTCCTCTCTAGGCAGCCCACCTGCCTTGGTGCAGTCATGGTGTCGTTAACTAGGGGGGCCAGGAGGCTTCATTCCCATCAGTCAAGCTCATTACAGATGGAATAACCAGTTGATTTACGGTTGCCTTGATCCTGATTATGGTCTGGAGTATTCTTTTTTATTCTTTCTCCTTTTTATGGACCAGGGGTAAATCTGAAATCTGAAAGTATAGGATCCTTATAACAGAAAGGGACTCTGTATTAGTTCACAAGAGTGATCTGTGTTTTGAGTCTGTCACTACCAGGATTTAAAGAGTCCCTAGCCCTCTCTGCTGCTTTACTCCCATTCACAAAATAAGAGGCCTGTACCAAATATTTCATAGGATTGGGATTTATATATATACATACATATATATTTATGTATCTATCGGTCTATCTATCTATCTATATTATTTATTTATTTATTTTTGAGACAGAATCTCAAGCTGTAGCCCTGGGTAGAGTGCCATGGCATCATAACTCACAGCAACCTCTGACCTCCAACTCAGGCTCAAGTGATCCTGTTGCCTCAGTTATTCTATTTTTAGTAGAGACAGGCTCTTTCTTTTGCTCAGGCTGGTATCTTGGCCTGGGACTTATACTTTTATTTAAAATATCATCATAGCTCACAGCAACCTCAAACTTTTGGGCTTGAGCAATCCTCCTGCCTCAGCCTCCTGAGTAGCTAAGACTATAGGCACCTGCCATTATACCCAGCTAGTTTTTCTATTTTTAGCAGAGATGGGTATCACTCTTCCTCAGCCTGGTCTTGAACTCCTGGGCCCAAGCAATCACAGACCTCAGCCTCCCAGAGTGCTAGGCTTACAGGCATGAGCCACTGTGCCTGGCCTAGGATTGGGACTTAATGAACATAGTTCTCAGTCGATACTGTTTTTGGACCTCTGTGAGTGTGGGAGGGGTCAGTGACAATTGTCAGCCTAATAGGGCCATGGTGCCCTGCAGCTCTAGGAAGCACACTGCCCAAGGCTGTTTGAAGGATACAGCAATCTGCCCTTCCCTTCACCCACAGCAAGTCACCCTCCACCTGTCCCCATACCTCCAAAAATATTCCTAATATCCTGAAGATCCTTAATATTTACTAACCAGACTAAGGTGTTCTGTTGCTAAATCAAGTCATGGCTGTGTTTTTACCTTGGCAGAAAATAACAAGTGAAAACTGAATTTTTTTTTTTTGAGATAGAGCCTCAAGCTGTCACCCTGGGTAGAGTGCCGTGGCATCACAGCTCACAGCAACCTCCAACTCCTGGGCTCAAGTGAGTCTCCTGCCTCTGACTCCCAAGTAGCTGGGACTACAGGTGCCCACCACAATACCCGGGCTATTTTTTGGTTGCGCTGTCATTGTTGTTTGGC